TCTCTCGAAGTAATTCTATCTTTTTTTTGTTAAGGTACGTTATTAAATGATTATTTGATATACATCTTTTAGAGTGAAAATCAATCAACATGATAATTGCAATCATCTTGATCGTATTGCTTAATGAAATATATTTTTATGTGGACCGAGCAATTTGTAAACTTGGGTCATGACATGTCGTATTCATTTCTTATGCTTGCTCTGCCCTGTGGCCTGCCCCAAAGCACTAAAAGTTTTTGTGTAAATTTCTTTTATACGTACAAGTTTATGTGGACTTTTATTTTTTTTAGTCCATCTTAAATTTTTTTTAGTCCAATATTAGATATGTCCTTGATATTGCCTATGGAAAGTAAATAAGGCTTAAGAGTTTCTCTTTTAATGTATTGTGTAGTAACTATAAAAACTCCTCCCAATGGAAGCAAATGCATTGAAGAATTGGGTTATTGTTGTGGTAGCAATGGTTATTTGGTTCCTAATTTCAGCAGCAGACAATGTGGAATGCACATTTGGAGTTGAGCTGAATCCATGCACACTACCTGCATGCAAGAAAATCCTACAGAATTCAACTCAACTCCAAATGCACATTTCACACTATTTGGTGCCAAAATTAGGAACCCAATTTCCATTGCTAACACAACAATAACCCAATTCTTCAACGTCTTAGCTTCCATTGTGAAGAGTTTTGATAGTAACTCCACAATACATTGAAAGAAAAACTCTCAAGTCTAATTTACTTTCCATAGACAATATCAGTGACATCTAAGATTGGATTAAAAAAAAAAAAAATTAAAGTGGACTAAACAAATAAAAATCCACATAAATTTGTACATATAAAAGAAATTTAAACATTAAAAATTTTAATGTTTTGGGACTGGCCACAGAGCAAGCATAAGAAATGAAAACGACTTACCATGACCCAAGTTTACAAATTATTCGGTTCACGTAATGGCAGTGGCAAACTCTAATGGTTCGACCTTAAAAATATATTTCATTAAGCAATATCATTAAGAGATGATTGCAATGGTAATATAAATTGATTTTCACTCTTATAAACGTATATCAAATAATCATTTAATCACGTACCTTAATAAAAAAGATAGAATTACTTCGAGAGAGGGTGAGCGAACTAATAGATGCTCAAACTAAGTGATCCAACGATATTATTTATAGAATTCATTTGCAAAATCTGAGGTATGGGTTATAAGAATACAAATGGATACATACAATTCCTTATAAGGTCAAAATTACATAAATCTAATGGTACATTTAATTCGTGGCGTGTGAAAAGTTATTGCAACTTTCATTTCATGTAGGATTTGGTATTAATGTAGTTTTAAAAGAATTAATTGTCTGTGTTGAAGAAAAAATAAGTTATGGATAAAATCAATTAATTGTTTTGTAAACAAATGTATTTTATTACTGTGTGTGAATAAAATTACTAAAATTTATATTAAAGTGTCCTTATATACTATTATTATCTTTGATAATACTGCAAACTGTAGATAAATATTTAAGACATATATATGTTATAAGTAAATATCTGTCCAATATTATTATTTTGAAAGGAAAAAATTAATAATATCTATTGAATCTGAAAATTATTAAATTAGATTTTTTTTTTAAATAATAAAAAAATTTGAAATAAAAGCATATTCCACATAACTAGAAGGTACCTGGGACCTTAATTTCTGGTTGTTCGGTCAGGCCTTACGTCAGGCAAATTATTTCCCCAAGCTTCACTGTATTTCAAGCCAGAGGGCATTGGAGATCCATCTTTTCCAGATAATTTCCTAGAGGATAAGCCATTGACTCGATTCCTGTAAATGTTAGTTTGCACATCATTGCAACTGATATGTGACATCCTCACCAGAAGATGATGATCCAGAAGAACTTGGTCGCTTTCTAGATGCTTTTTTCTTCATGTCTTCCTTTCCGTACATGTGACATTTATTATGACCCTTATCCACCGACATGGTTGGCATCTTGCTACTTGATGAAGTATCATTCTTTTTTGATTGATGAGTTGGGGAATAAGAATC